TCCACGCTGGCTCAGATCCTGACCTTTGAAACAGGAGGCAGGGAAAGCAGGATAAAGCCTTAGCCTCGCTGCATGCAGGTAGCCTCGCTGCATGCAGGTAGCTAGCCTCGCTGCATGCAGGTAGCCTTGCTGCATGCAGGTAGCCTCGCTGCATGCAGCGAGGCTAGCTACCTGCATGCAGCGAGGCTACCTGCATGCAGGTAGCCTCGCTGCATGCAGGTAGCCTCGCTGCATGCAGGTAGCCTCGCTGCATGCAGGTAGCTAGCCTCGCTGCATGCAGGTAGCCTCGCTGCATGCAGTTAGCCTCGCTGCATGCAGGTAGCCTCGCTGCATGCAGTTAGCCTCGCTGCATGCAGGTAGCCTCGCTGCATGCAGGTAGCCTCGTTGCATGCTGACTGCATGCAGTTAGCCTCGCTGCATGCTGACTGCATGCAGTTAGCCTCGCTACATGCAGTTAGCCTCGCTGCATGCAGGTAGCCTCGCTGCATGCTGACTGCATGCAGTTAGCCTCGCTGCATGCTGACTGCATGCAGTTAGCCTCGCTACATGCAGTTAGCCTCGCTGCATGCAGTTAGCCTCGCTGCATGCTGACTGCATGCAGTTAGCCTCACTGCATGCTGACTGCATGCAGTTAGCCTCGCTACATGCAGTTAGCCTCGCTGCATGCAGGTAGCCTCGCTGCATGCTGACTGCATGCAGTTAGCCTCGCTGCATGCTGACTGCATGCAGGTAGCCTCGCTGCATGCAGGTAGCCTCGCTGCATGCAGGTAGCCTCGCTGCATGCAGGTAGCTAGCCTCGCTGCATGCAGGTAGCCTCGCTGCATGCAGTTAGCCTCGCTGCATGCAGGTAGCCTCGCTGCATGCAGTTAGCCTCGCTGCATGCAGGTAGCCTCGCTGCATGCAGGTAGCCTCGTTGCATGCAGGTAGCCTCGCTGCATGCAGTTAGCCGAACCTTGGAGCTAAACCAGGTCCTGGAAAAAGACGGTTCTTGCGCCATATCTCTCTCTGTCTCACGTCACCAATCTGACGAAAAATGGAATCACGCTTTACTAGTCATTAAAGATTAAATTTTTATGTTTCACATCTAAAAAATAGATATATATTTAAAAATATTTTAAATGTTATTTTGAAATTAAATTATAAAAGGTTATTATTTTGATGTCTCAATCAGGGTCATTGAGTGGGTGGGGCGGCGCCCTCTACTGGCCAGCAGCCACTGGTTTCTGTCCTTTGCTTGAGTCACTATCTTTCTTTTTTGGACCTACAGGTTAAGACGCAGCAAACAACAAAAAAGCTGTTTATAATGTTAAACACAAACAGCTGCATGGTGCAGTTTTTTTTTTTTTTTTTCAAACAGCCAAACATAAACCAGAGAGATGCAGTTTTCTTTTTAAGTGTGTTTACAGGCCGCCCCGTCTTATAACACAACAAATACTAAATTAAGCCATAAAAAAGGAAAATTCTGCTTCAAGTTTCAGTCGGTTTGATTTTGCGCCTTCAGATAAACAAATAAATAATGAGCACTCAGCATTAATCTGTGTCAATTACGACAGACGGACTAACGTCAGCCCTGGGTTCCCGCAGACGGGCTAACGTCAGCCCTGGGTTCCCGCAGACGGGCTAACGTCAGCCCTGGGTTCCCGCAGACGGGCTAACGTCAGCCCTGGGTTCCCGCAGACGGGCTAACGTCAGCCCTGGGTTCCCGCAGACGGGCTAACGTCAGCCCTGGGTTCCCTCAGACGGGCTAACGTCAGCCCTGGGTTCCCGCAGGCGGGCTAACGTCAGCCCTGGGTTCCCGCAGGCGGGCTAACGTCAGCCCTGGGTTCCCGCAGGCGGGCTAACGTCAGCCCTGGGTTCCCGCAGGCGGGCTAACGTCAGCCCTGGGTTCCCGCAGGCGGGCTAACGTCAGCCCTGGGTTCCCGCAGGCGGGCTAACGTCAGCCCTGGGTTCCCGCAGACGGGCTAACGTCAGCCCTGGGTTCCCGCAGGCGGGCTAACGTCAGCCCTGGGTTCCCGCAGACGGGCTAAAGTCAGCCCTGGGTTCCCGCAGACGGGCTAAAGTCAGCCCTGGGTTCCCGCAGACGGGCTAAAGTCAGCCCTGGGTTCCCGCAGACGGGCTAACGTCAGCCCTGGGTTCCCGCAGACGGGCTAACGTCAGCCCTGGGTTCCCGCAGACGGGCTAACGTCAGCCCTGGGTTCCCGCAGACGGGCTAACGTCAGCCCTGCGTTCCCGCAGGCGGGCTAACGTCAGCCCTGGGTTCCCGCAGGCGGGCTAACGTCAGCCCTGGGTTCCCGCAGACGGGCTAACGTCAGCCCTGGGTTCCCGCAGGCGGGCTAACGTCAGCCCTGGGTTCCCGCAGGCGGGCTAACGTCAGCCCTGGGTTCCCGCAGACGGGCTAACGTCAGCCCTGGGTTCCCGCAGACGGGCTAACGTCAGCCCTGGGTTCCCGCAGACGGGCTAACGTCAGCCCTGGGTTCCCGCAGACGGGCTAACGTCAGCCCTGGGTTCCCGCAGACGGGCTAACGTCAGCCCTGGGTTCCCGCAGACGGGCTAACGTCAGCCCTGGGTTCCCGCAGACGGGCTAACGTCAGCCCTGGGTTCCCGCAGACGGGCTAACGTCAGCCCTGCGTTCCCGCAGGCGGGCTAACGTCAGCCCTGGGTTCCCGCAGGCGGGCTAACGTCAGCCCTGGGTTCCCGCAGACGGGCTAAAGTCAGCCCTGGGTTCCCGCAGACGGGCTAACGTCAGCCCTGGTTGCCAGGGTCCATACAGTGAATGGACCATAAATGGGCCATATAGCGAAGCTTAAAGTAGAAGGTTCTCGCTTCAAATGACCTTAAAATGTACTTTTATTGAACAACAGAAAAGAGAACTTTTAACTAAATACTCTGAGCTCTGTGAGTACTAACCTGGAAGCTGCTGCAGTGCATGTGTGGCATAAGGTGTTTGCAGAGACAATTTGGTGCTAATGGACAGTTTATTGCAAAGACAATTTACAGTGTACCCCCAATAATATTTTTTATTCTTGACTCATGTATGCGTGTGACTGTGAAAACATCCGATCAGCAGGGGGCGCTGCGTCTCTCAGGTATCCGCTGCTGGCGCATGCAGTTGTGGAGCGAGTAAGACGTCAGACAGCGTGATCAGAGATGAGACATAGCAAAAGTGAACTGATGTTGTTGTTCATGTTTTCACAGAAAAATCAATAAAAATTAAATATGCTGCACAGTGAAGACCCCTTCTTCTTCCACGTGTAACGCATGCTGGGACAGCTGTCGGTCTGGAGAACAGACAAGTCTGCTGTGATGCATGCTGGGTAAAGAGAGAACGACATCCGGGGACTTTGTCTGATGATCCGTGGATCATCAGGATCTTTGATGGTCAGACTTCCGGTTATTTCTGGATGTTATATTTTGGGACGTTTAGCCCCTGAGCTCCTGTCTGAAAAATAAATGCTCATCTGTTGAAATGAGTTGCTTTATATTACAGCAGAAGCTATTACAGTACAAAAAAAAATTGATCTGGAAGGAATCACGGTCGATGTTACCAGGACAATGGTGCAAATCGATGATTTAAAGGAATAGTACACCCAAAACATGATTAGCCTTCATTTTCTACTCACCCCCATGCTGAACAACACTCTGGAGTACTTTTTTGATATCTCAAATGCATCTGGAGATCTGGGAGGCTTCTTGCTGTCTGCTGACATTCAAATAATGGAGGTCTATGGCGCCCGAGGCAGAAAGGTCCATAAAAGTCCACAAAAAATGTGTCAATATTCCTCCATACTGCTCGTCCAATGTATTCCAAGTGTCCTGAGTGGGTAGCATCCATAATTTACTCGAAACGAAGTCATTTAGAATGTTTTTAGGGCATAAACAGTAGTGTATAGTATTTCCTGAAAGCGCGCGCCAGCGCGTTCACGAGTCTACGGAAGCCGGCAGACCAAACCAGCGCATTCAGCTCGGCAAAGAACTCATGCTCTTCCTCAACACTGAAGTCCTCAGACATTTTTCTTTCGTTGTTTCTTTCTTTGCACAGGTAAACAGCACATTTCTTCTTCTACGCTTGCATTATCGGAAGAGCAGACGCTGAATGCGCACTTTCATCTGGTTTGGTCTGCCATCTTCCGTAGCGTCCTGAACGCGCTTTCAGGAAATCCTATACACCACTGTTTATGCTCTAAAAACATTCTAAATGACTTCGTTTCGAGTAAATTCTGGACGCTACCCACTCAGGACACTTGGAATAAATTGGACGAGCAGTATGGAGGAATATTGACACGTTTTTGTGGACTTTTATGGACCTTTCTGTCTCGGGCGCCATAGACCTCCATTATTTGAATGTCAGCAGACAGCAAGAAGCCTCCCAGATCTCCAGATGCATTTGAGATATCAAAAAAGTACTCCAGAGTGTTGTTCAGCATGGGGGTGAGTAGAAAATGAAGGCTAATCATGTTTTGGGTGTACTATTCCTTTAACGTAACCCCTAACTGTTCCAGTTCTCAGCCTTAATCTTTTACGATAGGAAGGACCCTCTGGCTCCCCCTAGTGGTCTGGAACCCTTCTGCTTCGTGGAGAAAGACTTTTCCAGTACCATGCGGTGGACGCTTCGGGGTCTTTGTCTGCTATGATTGTTGATTAAGTTATCTATTTTCATTTCTACATCCAGTCCCGTTACTGCATGGTCTCCATTTAACCACCACCTGACCAATTAGAAGCAGTTTTTTATTTTAGCATCTTTCTCTGGTTTTTACCTCCAGACTCAGCGGCTGCAGAGGGAGCTGCGAGTGGAGCACGACCTCACCCAGAAGGAGCTGCAGGAGGCCAGCAGGAGGGTGCAGAGGGAGTGTGACCACCGGGTGACGTTGGAGAGGGAGAAGGTCCATCTGATGGAGGAAGAGCGAAGCCGGCTACTGCAGCAGGTAGAGACGGAGGCAGAGCTGCCGCCCCGCTGGTCGCTTCCTGTTGTTGAACTCATAGCTTCTGCTTTCAGATCGCAGACGGAGAGACTCGCTACAAACAGCTGGAGAAAGAGTTCCAGCTGTACAGGGAGCAGCAGAACGTGCGACCAGAGCTCCGCCTGCAGTCCGAAATCAACCTGCTGACTCTGGAGAAGGTGAGCAGGAGAAGAACATCCAGAGAGGAATGAGTCAGATGGTGCTCTGCTTCATGGCTCGTCTTCTGCCTCTGAAGGTGGAGCTGGAGAGGAAGCTGGAGTCCACCACCAAGTCCAAGCTTCACTACAAGCAGCAGTGGGGCCGCGCCCTGAAGGAGCTCGCTCGCTTTAAACAGGTAAAGGGGGGGCCAGACTCTGCAGATGGAATCTCACCCCCAGGGGGATCGGTGACCCGCTGGGGGATCCGCACCCCTCTGTGGGACCCGGACCCGGCTGGGGGCCAGCAGTTGCATGTGCCTCAGCTCCTTCTGCAGCAGCAGAACATCTCAGAGCTGAATATTGTTGAATTGGTGATTTTCTGCTCTCCATGTTTCAGTTGGTTCAGATAATCTCAGCCCGCTTCTTAGCCAACCTTCCCCTACAGCAAAACAAGACTATAATAATTATAAAGTTGTTTTTTATAAAGATCATTTCCTCCCCTAGTGGCCTTTATTTCTACATCACTGCTGGTAAAGTGATCCGGTTATGAAGCAAAATTCTGATCCGTCCTGTTGGGTTTAATAAAGTTATGAAAGGAATCGGCTGCTTAGAGCTGTGGGGGGTCAAAGGTCAAATGTGTGCAGCGGCTCTGACATACCAATAACTGTTCCTGACAGGAACCAGCTGTTCTCCTGCCTCCTCTTCCTCCTTATCTTCCTCCTCTGAGTGTCTCAGCGCTGCTAAGAAAACAGGCTGTGATTGATGCGTCTTTACGGGGCCCGGCCCCTCCCTCTGATTAATCATGCTTTGGTTGTTGACCCCCAGACGCGTCTGAACCCTCAGACCCGTGTTTATCCGAGCGTCCGTGTTGGAGCTGGCCCGTCTGCAGGCTCCTCTCTCAGCTCCTGGCCCCGCCTCCTTTAGCTCACATCATAAAAATTCCTGTCTGAGCTATAATGATGGCGGCGGGGGGGAGAGTTAAAGCCCAAACAGAACCGAGGTGTCGGATCAGAGGCCGGCCGCCGTGTCCCTCAACTCCAAATATTGGGACAAGGACCTGAAGTTGTTCTTTTCTCAGGAAAAATATTGGGACAAAGAGATTAAAGACATGAGGCTGGGAGCTGAAGCTGAGCGAGAGGTCGCTGCAGGCGGGAGGTCGCTGCAGGCGGGAGGTCGCTGCAGGCGGGAGGTCGCTGCAGGCGGGAGGTCGCTGCAGGCGGGAGGTCGCTGCAGCCGGGAGGTCGCTGCAGGCGGGAGGTCGCTGCAGCCGGGAGGTCGCTGCAGCCGGGAGGTCGCTGCAGGCGGGAGGTCGCTGCAGGCGGGAGGTCGCTGCAGCCGGGAGGTCGCTGCAGCCGGGAGGTCGCTGCAGGCGGGAGGTCGCTGCAGGCGGGAGGTCGCTGCAGCCGGGAGGTCGCTGCAGGCGGGAGGTCGCTGCAGCCGAGACGTCGCTGCAGGCGGGAGGTCGCTGCAGGCGGGAGGTCGCTGCAGGCGGGAGGTCGCTGCAGCCGGGAGGTCGCTGCAGCCGGGAGGTCGCTGCAGCCGGGAGGTCGCTGCAGGCGGGAGGTCGCTGCAGGCGGGAGGTCGCTGCAGGCGGGAGGTCGCTGCAGGCGGGAGGTCGCTGCAGGCGGGAGGTCGCTGCAGGCGGGAGGTCGCTGCAGGCGGGAGGTCGCTGCAGGCGGGAGGTCGCTGCAGCCGGGAGGTCGCTGCAGGCGGGAGGTCGCTGCAGGCGGGAGGTCGCTGCAGGCGGGAGGTCGCTGCAGCCGGGAGGTCGCTGCAGGCGGGAGGTCGCTGCAGGCGGGAGGTCGCTGCAGGCGGGAGGTCGCTGCAGGCGGGAGGTCGCTGCAGGCGGGAGGTCGCTGCAGGCGGGAGGTCGCTGCAGGCGGGAGGTCGCTGCAGGCGGGAGGTCGCTGCAGGCGGGAGGTCGCTGCAGGCGGGAGGTCGCTGCGGCCGGGAGGTCGCTGCGGCCGGGACGTCGCTGCAGGCGGGAGGTCGCTGCAGGCGGGAGGTCGCTGCAGGCGGGAGGTCGCTGCAGCCGGGAGGTCGCTGCAGGCGGGAGGTCGCTGCAGCCGAGACGTCGCTGCAGGCGGGAGGTCGCTGCAGCCGGGAGGTCGCTGCAGCCGGGAGGTCGCTGCAGGCGGGAGGTCGCTGCAGCCGGGAGGTCGCTGCAGGCGGGAGGTCGCTGCAGGCGGGAGGTCGCTGCAGGCGGGAGGTCGCTGCAGCCGGGAGGTCGCTGCAGCCGGGAGGTCGCTGCAGGCGGGAGGTCGCTGCAGGCGGGAGGTCGCTGCAGGCGGGAGGTCGCTGCAGCCGGGAAAGGTGACTGAACGTCTGCTGCTGCCGATAGGATGAAAGCAGCAGCTTTAGGTCAGAGAATATCTCAATAAACTTTATCGCTTCTTTAACTGTGGTTCTGTGGGGAATCCACAGCAGTCAGTATCTACCACTCACTCCTCAGGAGACCTGGAGAGACGCTCCTGTTAATGTAGTGTCTGATCTGCTGGTTCTGTTTCTACTTCATTACCAGCAGAGAAAATAAAGTTACAATTTTTCTTTTATCTCACACAAAACAAAACTTTTTCTCCGTAAATGAGTCGAGTTATGGGACCGTTTCTCTCTGCATCACTTAGATCTAATAATCCTCCGTCCACCAGGGGTGCTGGTGCCTACCTCCAGCTGCCTAGAGGCGAGAGGCGGGGTCCACCCTGGACAGGTCGCTAGTCCATCGCAGGGCATCTAATAATCCAGTAAATAAAATCTTCAGATTATTGGATGGATGGATTTATAATAACAATCTATTCATTATTGGATTTAGGCTCCTTCACATTTTTATTCTGTTAGGCAAACAGAGTGTTAGGGCCAGGCTAGAGAATTATTATTTTAAATTTCAAGAATAAAGTTGCAACAAGAATAGACATAAAATCACAGGAATAAAGTCGTAACATTATGAGAATAAAGTCATAAAATTGCGAGAATAAAGTTTTATTTTATAACAACTCTTCCAAGGAGCCCTTTCTTCTCTAAAAAGTTATAAAGAAGTTCTACTTTAGCATCAGTTTGAGAAATCAGGAAATCTTTTAGCAGCAGCATCAAACTGGGCAGGATGTCAAAGTGGACTCTGGCTGCTGATTGGTGGAGCTGGACGGCCGTCATCTGCTGGGCGGAGCTCCAAGCTTTCTTTCTAAAACGTGTTTTGGTTTGTTGATTTAATTCTGTTAATATTACGACTTTATTCTGGTAATTTTATGACTTTATTCTCAAAAAAAGAAAGAAAAAATCTAAATGTTAACCCGATCTTTTATGATTAAATTTAAATAATTTAATGAATTAGTTCTGCAGAGCTGTGATCACTTTTATTCATTCAGGTGTCTTTCTGATGAAGTGATGTCACACTAAGTGGGAGGAGCTAAAGTGATGCAGATCTGCTTCTTTCTTATCAGAATCCAGTTGTTCACAAACATTTCCTTTAGAAGTATAACTGCAGTAAATTAGATTCTGCATGAACAAACTCTGCAGCAGCTTTTGAGATGAAATGTCAGCTGGAGCTCAAAGGTTCTGTTTGAGGAGAACGTGTTGGCATTCCCATCTGGTCCGCTGCCTCACCGGAACCAACGACCAGAACCCAGCCTTCCTGTCAGATTCAGCTTCTGAACCGGTTCTGCCATCTGGATCCAGAATAGGAAGCCTTTCTAATTGGTTCCAGAACGTGGTTCCAGATCCTTCCGGTTCTGATGGTTCTGGGTCAGTTCGCTGATCATGATCCAATCAGAGCAAACCAGTTAGAGATGGGAGTTAACGGGTCCAGAAACCAAACAATGAAAAATGTTTTTTTTCCTATTTAATAACATAGATAATAGATTCTATATCCGCTCCTTTTTACTCATTTTCGTTGATACATTTTCATGGAAACCGAGAAGCAAACGTTTGATCGTTTTAATTTGATAAAAATAGATTCAGTTAAAAACCAAACCAGGAACCGATCGACTGATTCTTTGATCTCCAGAACTTTTAGATGTTTTCTTCTAATTTAATTCTAAATCAGTTTTATATTTTAAATTAAATATTTGAGATAAAAACCAATCTGGACCAGAACCGGGCCGCTGGGTCCTGTTGGTTCTTTGGATCAGTCACAACAGAACCATTTGGTTCTGCTCTAGTTGAGGTCTGACCTAATGAGGTTCTGTTGGACCCAGTTTTTAGATTGTGGTTCTGATCCGCTTCCTGATGGTCGGTTCCGGGTCCTTCAGGCTGAAACATGAGCAGGAGGTCCAATTGGGTCGGCATCAGATTTAAACACCTTTTCTTTTCTTTTATGAAGGTTTTCCAGGAATTAAAATAAACTCAGACATCTTCAGGCTTTCAGCAGGCAGGAACGGACCTGTGGTTCTGGTTCAGGTCCACTGACCGGACCTGTGGTTCTGGTTCAGGTCCACTGAACGGACCTGTGGTTCCGCTAAGGTTCAGGGAACCTCCTTTCATCACTTGTATCCGCTCCAGAACCTCTGCGGTGGCGAGTAAAACCCGTTCTAGAGAAGGGGAAGAGAGTTTAGTTCTGGTTCTGATCAGAACACAATTTGTTTTTATTGTGTTCTGGAACCAAACAGACCCAGTAGAACCGTCGGTTCTGCAGCCTCCTCCTCTCCTTCCGGGTCTCAACTCTATGTGAAAACCTTTATTTTTCTAATCAGAGTTCTGTGTGGAATTGAGAGGTTCATTGTTTTTATTCCCCCCTCCTCTGATTTATGGGTCGGCAGGCTGACCCGGTATCAGCGGTTCTGGCAAATCTAGCAAGCGGCTGTGATTTTAGTTCTGATGTGCAGAGTTCAGAGCTGCAGACCGGGTCAGACGTGACGAGGCTGCTTCTGTTTTGTCCAGAGGGAGCAGGAGAACGCCGTGGCTCGTCTGAAGAAGCAGCAGGCGGAGCTGGAGGCCATGAGGCTGCGTTACCTAGCAACCGAGGAGAAGGAGGCGGTGCGGCAGGACCGGAAGGAGCTGGACCAGATCAGGAACCAGCTGAACAGGTGAGTGGAAGACCCGTACCTCCAGCATCGTTTTTAAGGGTTGTCGTGGTGACCGAAGGAGTTCTGGTTCTGATCCAATAAAGCTTGGATGAACAGATTCAGGAGAACGAAAAAAAAAGTAGGACCTAGCTTAGCATCGTTAGCATCAAAGGCAGAAACAGCCGATCCAGAGCCCATCACAGCTGTCCCGGTCCGGACCAGACCAGTTCTGCGGAGTTAGGCTGAGCAGTAAACATCTTCCCTGCAGCTAAACCAGACCGATCCAGTTTAGCAGCTTTGATTTGACTGAAAATCTGAAATTTCTTCTTTTTTTTTTAAACGCTCTTCGTTTCATTTCCTCCCTTCAGGTTAAAAAAGCAGGAAGAAGAGAGGTTAGGCCCCACCCCCGTAGAGCCAGGCCCCGCCCCCAGCCTGAATGAGAGCTCAGAGGAGCACCTGAGCCGCCTGCTGGAGGAGAGGGACACGCTGCTGAGGACCGGGGTCTACACGCACCAGGACCGGATCGTAGCGGAGCTGGACCGGCAGATCCAGGACGCCATGAGGGACAGGAGGCTCTGACGGCCGCTGTGCGGTCCGATCGGACCGGCCGGCCGGGTCCGGCGGAGGGTCAGATCACCTGCAGATTAACCAGCAAACCGAACCTGATCCAACTTCAGGTTTTATACCACTGGACTCGGACTGGGTCAGCAGCATCTGGTTCTAGAGGTTCTTCCATCCAGCAGATCCTCAGAGGAAAATAGCGGTTCTGATCCGGCCAGAGAGCCACGGCGGTTCTGATAATAACAGCCGATGTTCTCCTGAATAAGCAGCACAGACCGTTGAAGGTTTGTTCTTCACTAAAACCTTCCATCCAGCTAACGGGTTTCCTTTGCTTCTGGGTCGGAACCAGAACCTAAGGAAAATGAGAATCCAGTAAAAGATCAGAGCTGCAGAAGAACTTTGTTAATAGAACAGGACCGGGTTAGTGGACAGAAAAAATGTTCTGCTAGAACTTCCTGATTATGTTCTGGTCCAGATTAGTCCTTCATTCCTGAATGAATATAAACTCGGACTCGTTCAGTCCGAGTCTTTTCGCTCCAGGTTAAAGGATTCCAGCTCTGTGCTCATTCTGCAGCGGGTGGATGGACCCTCTGCTCACCTGGACCGGAACCACAGGGTCACAAAGTCTCACAGAAAAATGTTTTTATTTATGGATCCAAATGGATCTGTGAAAATGTTGGTTCTGGTTCTGATCCCAGAAATCCAACATTTTGGGAGCTTCTGTTACAAAAACCAACTGGAATTCACAGCATTGAAGCAGCGGGTCAGGGAGCAGAACCTCCGGGGTACGGACCTCTGGGGGGGCCAGAAGGAACCTCTGGGGGGCAGACGGATCCTCCGGGGGACGGACCTCTGGGGGGGCCAGAAGGAACCTCTGGGGGGGCCAGACGGAACCTCTGGGGGGCAGATGGATCCTCCGGGGGACGGACCTCTGGGGGGGCAGATGGATCCTCCGGGGGACGGACCTCTGGGAGGGCCAGACGGAACCTCTGGGGGGGCAGATGGATCCTCCGGGGGACGGACCTCTGGGGGGGCCAGAAGGAACCTCTGGGAGGGCCAGACGGAACCTCTGGGGGGGGCAGATTGATCCTCCGGGGGACGGACCTCTGGGGGGGCCAGAAGGAACCTCTGAGGGGCAGACGGATCCTCCGGGGGACGGACCTCTGGGGGGGCCAGAAGGAACCTCTGGGGGGGCAGACGGATCCTCCGGGGGACGGACCTCTGGGGGGGCCAGAAGAAACCTCTGGGGGCCAGAAGGAACCTCTGGGGGGGCAGATGGATCCTCCGGGGGACGGACCTCTGGGGGGGCCAGAAGGAACCTCTGGGAGGGCCAGACGGAACCTCTGGGGGGGCAGATGGATCCTCCGGGGGACGGACCTCTTGGGGGGCCAGAAGGAACCTCTGGGGGGGCCAGACGGCACCTCCGGGGGACGGACCTCTGGGGGGGCCAGATGGAACCTCTGGGGGGCCAGACTGATCCTCCGGGGGACGGACCTCTGGGGGGGCCAGAAGGAACCTCTGGGGGCCAGAAGGAACCTCTGGGGGGGCCAGACGGACCTTCTGGGGGGACCAGAAGGAACCTCCGGGGACCAGATGGAACCTCTGGGGGCCAGACGGAACCTGATCTGTTCTGACCTCTTAGTTTCCTGATCATCTTCCGAGTCGCTTCTGCAGATCAGATTTACTCATCGAGTCTTTAAACATCTGTGAATCAATCAGAGGATCTGGTTTGGACCGGATGGAGCGGCGCCGCAGAAACGTGAAGCGCTTCATTAGCTGGACGAAGCGTTAACCATTGGAAGGATGCTGCACCTGATGGCTGGTTAACCTCTCAGGGTTAAACTGGTTTATTTTTGTGATCTGTTTGTTTGCAATAAGTTAATTTTTCATCAGTTAGCTTCAATGTTTTAATATCAGATGTTTTCTATTTAGATTTATTCTGACAATAAAAGTTTTGTTTATTTCAACTGTTTAGTATAGTTTCTAAAACTTTATTTTAATTCATCCTGCTTTTATTAATCAAAAGAAAATCAGACCCAGATGTTGGATAATTATTGGTTAAACCAGTTTTAGAATGGGTGATGATCAGGTAGATCACAAACTAAATGCTAAAGAGACCGGCCTGTGATTGGCTGTAATAGCGGCAGAGGACACGCCCACATCCCACCCAGGGGAAGGAAAACCTGGCTGACATCTGAAGCGACGCCCCTCCCTGGTTTCTGAAGTTCAGGCTGATTAAGCAGAACCGGATCCAGATGTGTCGGGATGGAGAAGCGGTTCTGGATCCAGTCGGGTCGTTTTCTCCTCCACTGTTTGCAGGAATCGGCCTATTTGAGGGTTTCTTAAAAATGAGATCTGATTGGATCTCAGTGAAAAACTTTTCAGCTTATGATGATGAATCAGATGCAGAGAATAAAGATCCGCCTCCAGAAAAGGAGATTTTTGGGACGTCTTCAGGTTTTAAGAAGATTTGGTGGAATCTTTTCATATATATACAGGTGCTGGTCATAAAATTAGAATATCATGAAAAAGTAGATTGATTTCAGTAATTCCATTTAAAAAGTGAAACTTGTATATTATATTCATACATTACATACAAACTCATATATTTCAGATGTTTATTTTGTTTAATTTTGATGATTACAAATGACAACAAATGAAAATCTCATTCATCATATCAGAAAATTAGAATATTACTGAAGACCAATAAAAACAAAGGATTTATAGAAATGTTGGCCAACTGAAAAGTATGAACATGAAAAGTATGAGCATGTACAGCACTCAGTATTTAGTTGGGCCTCCTTTGGCCTGTATTACTGCAGCAATGCGGCGTGGCATGGAGTCGATCAGTCTGTGGCACTGCTCAGGTGTTATGATAGCCCAGGTTGCTCTAATAGTGGCTTTTAGCTCTTCTGAATTGTTGGGTCTGGTGTATTGCATCTTCTTCTTCACAATACCCCATAGATTTTCTATGGGGTTAAGGTCAGGAGAGTTTGCTGGCCAATTAAGAACAGGGATACCATGGTCCTTCAACCAGGTACTGGTAGCTTTGGCACTGTGTGCAGGTGCCAAGTCCTGTTGGAAAATGAAATCTGCATCTCCAAAAAGTTGGTCAGCTGCAGGAAGCATGAAGTGCTCTAAAACTTCCTGGTATGTGGCTGCGTTGACCCTGGACCTCAGAAAACACAATGGACCAACACCAGCAGATGACATGGCACCCCAAACCATCACTGACTGTGGAAACTTTACACTGGACTTCAAGCAACGTGGATGAAGTGCCTCTCTTCTTTTCCTCCAGACTCTGGGACCTTGATTTCCAAAGGAAATGCAAAATTTACTTTCATCAGAGAACATGACTTTGGACCACTCACCAGCAGTCCAGTCCTGTTTCTCTTTAGCCCAGGCAAGACGCTTCTGACGCTGTCTGTGGTTCAAGAGTGGCTTGACACAAGGAATGCGACAGCAGAAACCCATGTCTTTCATACGTCTGTGTGTGGTGGTTCTTGAAGCACTCACTCCAGCTGCAGTCCACTCTTTGTGAATCTCCCCCACATTTTTGAATGGGTTTTGTTTCACAATCCTCTCCAGGGTGCGGTTATCTCTCTTGCTTGTACACTTTTTTCGACCACATCTTTTCCTTCCCTTCGCCTCTCTATTAATGTGCTTGGACACTGAGCTCTGTGAACAGCCAGCCTCTTTAGCGATGACCTTTTGTGTCTTGCCCTCCTTGTGCAAGGTGTCGATGGTCGTCTTTTGGACAACTGTCAAGTCAGCAGTCTTCCCCATGATTGTGTAGCCTATAGAACTAGACTGAAAGACCATTTAAAGGCTTTTGCAGGTGGTTTGAGTTAATTAGCTGATTAGAGTGTGGCACCAGGGGCCATCAATTTTGAACCTTTTCACAATATTCTAATTTTCTGATATGATGAATTTGAGATTTTCATTTGTTGTCATTTGTAATCATCAAAATTAAACAAAATAAACATCTGAAATATATGAGTTTGTATGTAATGTATGAATATAATATACAAGTTTCACTTTTTAAATGGAATTACTGAAATCAATCTACTTTTTCATGATATTCTAATTTTATGACCAGCACCTGTATAATATTATTTGGGTTTAAAAAAGGCTTCATCCTGAACTGGAAACATAAAAGTCTATTTTCTTAGTTTGTAGGAAAATTCACTGTTTTCCCGATAAATACGGCAGTTGGATCTGTCCTTTTTCCTGGATTTAAGGGTTGGTTCCAGGGTACCCTCTACGGAAGAGGATTAGGGCCACCTAAAAAAAAAAAAAAAGTTAACTGATAAATATTATTTCAGTTTAATATGTGAAAAAAATTCAGAATTCTGACAAAAATATCAGAATTATGAATTTAATCTCTGATTTCTGACTTTTCCCATATTAAAATGAAATATTTAAAAATTAGTTCGCTTTTTAAAAATTTTTCAGTGGCCCTAATCCTCTTCCGTATCCTCAGTGGGCCACCATTTCCAATGACTCATGAAGGTGGAAGCGGATTGGTCGAGCTCTCCCAGCGATGGCCTCACGTAGAGGCTCGTTCAGGAGGGCAGTGATGCGGGTGGAACCATCATGGTGAAGTAACAATGGCAACAAAACCACTGGATCCATGTCTGGTGTGAACGCACCATTAGAGCTGATGGGTTTTACCTGCGACCCGAGGAGATGCCCTGAAATCTACAGCAAACCACCAGTCTTTGATATAAACACAGGTCAACATGGCCACCATCTTGGGAGGGGCGATGTACTCCACCATGAATCAGCTCCAGGTTTAAAAACGAACAGTTGACGGACTAAATTATGGATGTGCCGTAAAGATAATTGGTTTTCTTTTATAAAATCTCCAACTGGATGTTAAACCAGTGAAGCAGGCCTGCTGGTTGAACTGGTCTGGGTGGGCGTCGGTCCTCCTGTCCCCCCCCCCCCCCCCCCCCCCCCCCCCCAGTAACGGCAGGACTTGAATCGGCAGTAGAAACAGGAATTAAAAACCGTTTGTGTTTCTGATGGCAGATTTTCTCACGGTTCAACTTTCCCACCTTGTTTCTCCTTTCAAACGTGTTTCCAATTAGACCCCAGAAAGGAAGCCTTCCTGCCTAACTGGTTTTGAAAGTGACCAGTGGTCTGCTAAACGTCCCAGCATCCATTAGAACCATTAAACACTGGAGCCCAGCTGACCGCCTGGTTTCCTCTGGTTCTGGTGTCATTATCGCTGACAGAGACCAGAACCGAACGGCTCCTCATTAAGACGAAGAACAGTTTGTGTGAAAAATGTGACGACGGATCAGAATCATTTTGATTTCTATCACCAGTAAGAAAATGACTGGAAGGTTTGTTTCCAACTTTAGGGGGAAAAATAAAGGTTTGAATATTCATAAAAATGAACAGAAGGACTTCCTGTCCACAGAACTAGCATCAGGGACGTATGGGTCAGAGTTCAGAACCAGAAGGGGCGGAGCTAGATCCCTCTAATACAGACTATGGCAGTAATAATACTCTGATCGGGAAATTTTCTAACTTATTAGACATTAAAATTTTTGATATTAAGAACTACTTGACAACAGAAACACTGCAGTTAATTATGCACATCAATATACAAACATTAAAGATGATAGATACAGAATTCATGCTCTTTTCAGAACTAAATTTTGAATTATTTGGGGTAGAGATGAAATGATGTGCCTCTGCAAGTCATCTAGGAGTCTTCAGTGAAATCATAGATAAATAACTAATTTAATAATGACATAAACATTCTTTAAATGTGGATATTGGTAGATTTAATTATCTTTTTCTTTTGCAGAATGATTATTGAAATATGTGCCCCAGAATTTGAACCTTA